TTGTTTGTTTGTTTTGAGATAGGGTCCCACTCTGTTGCCCAGGCTGGTGTGCAGTAGTGCTATCATAATTCACTACAGCCTCGGCCTCTTAGACTCAAGCGATCCTTCCACCTCAGTCTCCCAAATAGGCAGGACTACAGGTGTGTGCCACCAGCACCAGCTAATTTTTTTTTTAAGAGGTGAAGTCTCAATATGTTGCCCAGGCTGATCTCAAGTTCCTAGGCTCAAGTGATCCTTCCATCTTGGCCCCAGAAAGTTCTGGGATTTCTGAGCTATCACATTCAGCCTTGACCTTATTTTGAAATAGGGTTTTTGTAGATGTAGCCAAATTAAAATGAGGTCCTGCTGAATTATGATAGGCCCAAATCCAATGACTGGTGCCTCTATAAGAAGAGGGCAATTAGTATATAGAAACACAGAGACAGACACACACAGAGGGGAGAAGACCGTGTGAGGACAGGGGCAGAGATTGTAGTTATGCTGCCACAAACCAAGGAATGCCAAGGACTGCTGGCAGACACCAAAGGCCAAAAGAGGAAGGAGGAAGCATGGCCTGACAACATCCTGATTTCCAACTTCCGACCTTCAGAACGGTGGCAGAATACATTTCTATTGTTTTAAGCCACCCAGCTTGTGGTAACTTGCTAGGGTAGCACTGGGAAACAAACGCATCATTTCCAATGACTCACTTGGGAAATGTGAGTTTTCAATCCCTGAAACACTCGGTCTGTGAGTTTCCAAGGCCCCCACAGCCAAGAAGATCAATCGCCACCTCGGCAAAGCTGCTCCAGCCTAATCATCAGAAGCAGGTAGCACTATTGTTACACAATAGGAGCCAGAAGGAATATGTATGGCACCCAGGTATCTACTGGGGTCCCTCTTAGTACTTCCTTGCACAAATTTGATGATACATGGACAACTGCAGCAATCCTGGTCTGAGAAGGTAGAGTAATCAGAGGATCAAGCCCCTTAGGGACGAAGGTATTGGTCATGCCACAGATTAGCCACAGAGACCAGCAGAGGTTCAGACAGAGGGTGAGGCTAATCTACAATGGATAGCAGAAGAGGGAAAACAAGACTCTGTGGCAGCTGTAGACAAGCTGGGGCTGCAAGGGCTATAGCTAATCCTTTTAATTTTTCTCTCCTAAATTATCCCCTCCCCCATCCAGAAAGGAGGTCCACGGGAGTCCTGGAAAAGCCTCTCCCAGTCCCTACACAAAGACATGGGTCTGACGGGTGCAAAGCATGGACTACAGAGGATGCTGAGAGAGCCACTGGCTCGGGTCCTCTCTCAGAAATGATGGGCTCATTGCCCGGCTGCTGTGATCGCTGCAGAAGACATCTCGCAGCTGTTCACTCTCCAGCCTTTGCCGGAGAAAACTATCCCAACAGGATCACACCTCCTCCTAAGGGCAGCCTGCAACCTGATGACCTAACAATGCAGAAATATTTTACGTTGTTCCTGGCATCCTTGCTTCAGCTCCCCAGAATCTAGACATGCTGAACATTTGTAAGATGGATTAGTCTAATTAAATAAAGATTAGCTGGATAATTGTACAGTGTTTCATAATCCACACAGACCGAGAGTGGTTTCTCACTTTTGGTGGACTCCAGAATCACCTGGAAAGCTTCTAAAATATCCTGGTATTTGGGCTCCACTTCTCAGAGATTCTGCCTTAAATGATTTTGCATGGGGCTGAGCCTGAGTATTCTCTAAAACCTGTCCAAGATCGTTAATGTGCAGCTAAGTACTGAAAACCACTGACGGATCAGGAAAATTAGTCAGTGGGGAGCGTGTAGAGAAGTGACCCTGAATATTTATCCTCTTTGTACTCTCATTTTCCGCCAACTCATAGTTGCTTGCTTTATCTCACCAAGGGCTGAGGGATCCCAACAGCTTTCCCTGTCGTGTAGGAAGCACTTAGGAATACCAGCCAGAAGATTGCTTTAGTGTGACTGGCACATTCTAGCAGTTTGGTTGGTTATGCTTTGCACTTACTTCCCTGTCCAGCTGTTTCTGTGTTCCTTACCTTGAAAATCTGTATCCCTTTTGTCTGCCTAGGTTCCTGTTCTTCCGCAGTTCTTGCCTTCAGCAATACACATTGGCCTCCAACCCTGCTCACCTCCAATCCTGAAATTCCTGATCTAATAGCTGGTCCCATCTTTGCAGGATGCCCCATCAACCACCGCGCCCTCCTTTTCCCAGTGCTCCATGGAGGCAAGCAAAATGAGACAGGGGTGACACATTTGCTTCCTGTTCTACTCTAAGTATATGGTACCACAGACAACTTTAGGAGGCTTGACTTTAGTAAATTTCCTAGGAAAATTTCAAATTCATCCATTTCTTCTATTTTTTTATTTGCTAGCAAAGACTCATGTATATACAAAACTAAAATGCTTTAAATAAACTTTCATTCCAGGAAGAGATGACATTTGGAATCTCTTTCATTTACCACTGCCTTCAATTACCAGATGGTAATCTCTATTCAAACTCGGTCTGATTTTCCTATACTTCTCTCAATCTGATGAATACTAAGCTACTAATGATTCCTCATGAGAGTTTTCTAAAGGCAAAAGAACTTCTGCACCCCCCTTAAATAAACAACCTTATTACTGACATATTTTTAGTGGCACAGAACGTTTCCCATCTTGTTTACCTATCTGTGACCTCAACTGCAGAAGTATTTCTACCGTTGCTTATTCAAATCATTTTTCATATTTTGCTGCTGTGAGCATACCAAAACCTAATGTTTGCTATAGCTTTTCTTTAAATTACATTTTAAAAGCTATAGTATATGCACTGAAATAATACATATTTAGGGATTATTTTTAAATTGGCTTTTGCCAAAGTTATAAAATAGAGGTTGCTTGCAAAATAATTTTTTGTCTGTGTGTACATTTGCTGTTGGATATGATTATTCAGCTATTTATGGCTGATGTGTCACAGATGCAATAATTTTTTTTAAAGATGCTTAGTGCCATCTGTCATCTCAGTAATAATTTCAAAGACAAAATTTTGAAGAAGAGAGAAATAAAGGAAAAGAAATGGAGAGTCTTTACAATTGTAAGTCCTGGCTAAACCCTGTAAAAGTTAACATTCCAGACCAACGTCCGTCCCTATCTTCTCAAACTGTCTATCCCTGTAATGGCTATTTATTTATTTATTGAAGCAGAGTTTCACCCTGTTGCCCAGGCTGGAGTGCAGTGGCACGATCTTGGCTCACTGCAACTTTTGCCTCCCAGGTTCAAGTAATTCTTGTGCCTCAGCCTCCCGAGTAGCTGGGATTACAGGCACATACCAACACACCTGGCTAATTTTTGTATTTTTAGTAGACACAAGGTTCCACCATGTTGCCTGGGCTGATCTCGAACTCCTGACCTCAGGTGATCTGCCTGCCTCAGCCTCCCAAAGTGCTAGGATTATATGCGTGAGCCACTGCAACTAGCCCAACATATTTTAGATTAAATTATTCTTCTAACTTGTCTCCAAAGGTCCATTTTTGCCCATTGCTTCTTTTATTCTTCTTCCTTTTCATTACAGAATCTTGGATTACCTATACTGACCCTGTCTATAAATCACAGTCCTCCAAAGAGAAATGAAAATACCTTCTAATAACTCCTAAAATCATCTCTTCACTGCAATCTTCATCTGTTAAAATGTATTCCTGCCAAGTATGTTTGAGGTACTCATGGTTTTTAAACTATGGTAATTGAATTCAGGGTTTTAAAATAATATGCACGTGGTATGTATTAGTCTGTTTTCACGCTGCTGATAAAGACATATCCAAGACTGGGCAATTTACAAAAGAAAGGGGTCTAATGGACTTACACTTCCACATGACTGAGGAGGCCTCACAATCATAGTGGAAGGTGAAAGGCAAGTCTCACATGGTGGCAGAAAAGAAAAGAGGGCTTGTGCACGGAAACTTCCATTTTTAAAGTCATCAGATCTCATGAGACTTATTCACTATCACTAGAACAGCAGAGGAAAGACCCACCCCTATTATTGAATTACCTCCCACAAGTCCCTCCCACAACACATGGGAATTCAAGATGAGATTTGGGTGGGGACACAGCCAAACCATATCATGGTATAATACAAAATTTTCATTTAGTAGTGAATTTAGATTTCATATGCCTGTCCATTCTTTAGTTATATAGATAGATGGATTTTATTCCCTCTACTCTTCTCATTTTTTATTAGAGCATTGAAATTCCACAGCAAAACCAATGTAGTTCTTGAAAACTCAAAAGAAGAAAAAATAAAATTCACTATGGTATCATTCAGAGAAACTGATAAAATCTTGTGACACGACACACATTTTTTTTTTAGAATGTGGAGGGAAATAATAGACTAGAGGACACTCCACAACAATCAAGACTTCTGATCTTTTTTAGGTAGCATTTTAGAATTTTCTTGCTCATGCTACCCTTGATTTATTCTACTGCAGATGTTGATAGTCACTCTTAGGAAAAACAAAATGACAAAGGAATATATATTTTCTGATCAAAAAGAAAAATTGATGTAAAGAATTTTAAAAGCATCAATTTAACCACCAAATGATACTGAAAACATTTAACATACATATATGCAGGCATAGATATACATGTGTGATATAATTGAGATTAAAGTATAAATTCTGTTTAATAATCTGTATGCATATATTAACTTTTTCTATCTCATAAAATATTTTAGCCATAAAACTGTAATGACTTTAACATAATTTAACTTACTTAAGCAGTTTATTTAACCCAAATTATTTTATCTTTATTTACACGACTCATGTCTTATTTCTCCATTATGAATAATGCTGCAAGTGTATTTGATAAATATTTAAATCATACATTATTTCCTTAATAAACATTCCCAGAAGCAAATATATTAGCTAAATATTTTCAAATTAATTTTAAAATCCAGACTGCTAAAATCACATTTATAAAAGCTTTAATAAAGATAAAATAATTTAAGTATAGCACCCATCAAAAGAAAAACAGTTTACCTTGCGCAAAAAGAACAGGATGAATTTTAAACCCTCCTCCATTTTTCAACCGTTGAGGAAGTTGTTCAAAATGATAACTATCAACGTAGAAGTAAACTTTCAGAGCTTGCCGACTTCCTTCTGCTTGATATGTAAGAGGAACATCTGAAATGATATTTAATAGTATATTACTTCCTAAAATAAGGATATGCTAGATGGTACTTCTGTTAACCTTCAAAAAGAATCCTGAGAATTACTCGACACCAATATATTAAACATGATCATGTTTATCAAGTTGGGATTCAACATACAGTGCTATTCAATGAAAGAGTATTAAATCAGTTCTCATTAGCTAAAGCAATGGATTTGTTACTATATTATAAAAATTCCATAATAGGAAACTTTGTTACACTTTGACATACCAGATGTCTCACTTAACTAAATGAGGTGTTTAGCTATACATGGTTTGGATTCAAAATCTCCCAGGGCAGCTGCTTCATTCATATTTTAGTCAGAATGAGTCCTTGGGGTATACTTCTTAAGTAGTGTGCAACAAATTGAGTACATAGCAACCACTATCAAAATTAGTATGGGTTCTGCAAGCTCTATTCCCTGAGCACCAGATTGGAAATATATTATCCTTTGTTGATGCCCCACAGTCATTAAAAATTGTCCCAACTCTTGTAGCTATTTTCAAAGATCCTAAATTTAATTACTTAAAAAAAAAAAACAATCAACTTGAAAACTAAATTTCAGTAGGAGTATTTCACAATGCTATCATAAATCCTCTCCATTTTATGATACTTATCCATGACAAATATTTCTGTCTCATTAGAAGAGAATGTAAAATCATCCTAAGAGGCTGAATAGTCACAATAACCAGTTAAAAATTAAGGACAAACAAATGGAATTGGCATTTAATACATGTTCCTCACCCAGTATTTATAACTTCTAACCTGCTTCTTGAAATAAAACTGTATATAAAAGTAGAGTTCAAGGTTAAATGGCATTTATGATCACAGATTCCAGGCTCCTTATTAAATTTATTTAATTCTGCATATCAATATGGGAAACATTTCATTAATATCTATCTCCTTTATGCCATATAAAGTACTTATTTTATTTTTGTTATTTTTTTTTAAATGAAAACATGAAGCATTTGATTTAGGAAAGAGAATGAACAGGTTTCTCACCCAAAGGGTTGAAAATTAATAGCATTTTAAGAACTGGAAAAATCCTTTCTTTCTGGTTTCTAAAATAAAGACTAAAAGAACTATGGACACTAAAGAAAATACAGATTTATAGCTACTAAATATCTGTATCCTCTAGTTCCCCTTTTCACACACTGTCTCGCATATATATTTTAATTTGTGTTAAATTCCATACCCTTCATCTTTGGCATCAATATAGACAACCTCTATGCTAACAAATGGATAATGTTATTGAAAGAAAAATAGTGATAATGATACAACAGTTAGAGTTTCATATTATAGAACATAGAACAAATAAAGATGTTATATTAGGAATCAAAGAACTAAAACTTAATGAAAATTATAAAGTATATCAATTTAAAGTGAAGTTTAAACTAAGAGCACTAAAACTCCTGGGCTCAAGTGATCCTCCAGCCTTGGCCTCCCAAAGTGCTGAGATTACAGGCATGAGCCGCCACACCCAGCCCATTACCACTTCTTTCAACATCATACTGGAAGTCCTAGCTATTGCAATGAAACAAAACAAGAAAAAATAAACTATAAAGATTGGGAAAGAAAAACATCAACAAAAAAAAATGCTCCTGGAACTAATATGCAATTATAGCCAGGTTACAGGATACATGTTAACATAAAAAAGTCAATTCCTTTCTTATATAACATCAGTGAGCAAGCGGAATTTGAAATTAACAACATAATACCATTTACATTAGCACCTCCCCAAAATAAAATACTTAAGTATAACTCTAATAAAACATGTACAAGATCTATATAAGGAAAACTACAAAGATGATGAAAAAATTTTAAGAACTCAGAAAGACATTTTATGTTCATGGATAGGAAGACTCACTATTGTCAAGGTGTCATTTCTTCCCAGCTTGATCCACAATATCAGTGAAACACCAAGTAAAACCCCAACTGGTTATTTCTTAGATATTGACAAACTAATTCTAAAGTTTATATGGAAAGGCAGAAGACACAAAATAGCCAACATAATATAGAAAAAGAAGAACAAAGTTGGAAGACTGACACTCCCTTAATTTAAGACTTACTGTAAAACTACAGTAATCAAGACAGCACGGTATTGACCAAAGAACAGACAAATAGATCAATGAAATGGAACAGAGAGCTCAGAAATAGTCCAACACATATATAGTCAACTGATCTTTGATAAAGGAGCAAAGACAATACAATGGAGCAAAGATAGTCTTTTCAACAAATGTTTCTGGAAGAACTGGACATCCACATGCAAAAACATAAATCTAGACACTCACCTTATATCCTCCACAAAAATTAACCCAAAATGAACTATAGACTTAAATATGAAATGCAAAACTATATAACTCCTGCCAAATTACAGAAGAGGAAACCTAGATGACCTTCGACATACTGATGACTTTTAGAAAGAACATCAAAGGCACAATCCATGAAAGAAATAATAGATAAGTGAGACTCCATCAAATGTAAAACTCCTGTTCTGCAAAAGACAATGTCAAGAGAACGTGAAAACAAGCAACAGACTGGAAGAAAATATTTGCTAAAGACACATCTGATAAAAGACTGTCATCCAAAATACACAGATAACTCTTCAAACCCAACAATAAGAAAACAAACAACCCGAGTGTATTAATCCATTCTTTCTTTGCTATAAAAATGTCTAAGAGTGAGTAATTTATAAAGAAAAGAGGTTTAATTGGTTCACAGTTCTACAGCCTGTACAGGAAGCAAGATGCTCACATCTGCTCAGCTTCTGAGGAGGCCTCAGGAAACTTATAACCATGGCAGTAGACAAAAGGGGTAGCAGGCACATCATATGGCAAGAGCAAGAGAGCAAGCGGAGAGGTGCTACACATTTTTAAACAACCAGATCTCATGAGAACTCATTATCATGAAGACAGTACCAAGGGGAAGGCACAACATCATTCACGAGAAATCCACCCCCATGATCCAATCACCTCCACCAGGCCCCACCTCCAACACTGGGGATTACAATTAAGCATGGGATTTGGGTAAGGACACATATCCAAACTACATCACCAATTTTTAAAATGGGCTAAAGACCTCAACAGACAACTCTTTCAAGAAGATATAGAGATGGCAAATAATCATATGAAATGATGCTCTATATCATTTGTTATCAGGGAAATGCAAATTAAAACGGTACTGAGCTACCACTATACACTCATAGAGGGGCCAAAATCCCAAACACTGACAACACCAAATGCTGGCAAGGATGTGGAGCGATAGGAGCACTCATTCATCACTGGAGGGAAAAATGCAGATTTTCCACAAAATAAATATCATTATAGAAAATTTAATCCTTTAGCTAGTTTAGTCCTCTCTCACTAATTAAATAATATGATACGGGGAGTACCTTGTATTTTCCTTATCACTAAAGTGGTTACATTGCCCATTTATGCCTTTGTATTTCTCACCAGACTCCATGCACATAGCCACTCTGGAAAACAGTCTGGCACTTTCTTGCCAAACTAAGACGCTCTTAACATACGATCCAGGACTCATGGTTCTTGGTATCTATCCAAAAGAGCTGAAAATTTATATCCACATAAAAACCTGCACGTGTGCCTATAGCCACTCTTCATAATTGCCAAAACTTAAAAGCAACCAAGATGTCCTTTGAATGGATAAACTGTGGTACGTCCAGCCAATGGAATATTCTTCTGTGCTAAGAGATGAGCTATCAAGCCATGAAAAGACATGAAGGAAGCTTAGATGCATATTGTAAGTGAGAGAAGACAATCTGAAAGGCTACATACTGTATGATCCCAACTATATGATGTTCTGAAAAAGGCAAAACTACAGAGACAGTGAAGAAAATCAGTGGATGCCAGGGGTTGGGTGCAGAGTGGGAGGGAGGAGGAATTAATAGGGATTTTAGGGCAGGAAAAATACTCTGTATATTACTATAATGGTGGATACATGTCAGTACACATTTGTCCAGATTCAGAGAACATACAGCTCCAAGAGTGAATCCTAATGTAAACTATGAACTTTGAGTGATTACGATATAGGTTCATTGATTTTAAGAAATGTACCTCTATGGTGAGGGCTATTGATAGCTGAGGAGGCTGTGCATGTGTAGGGACAGGGGTATGGAAAATCTCTGTACCTTCCTCTCAATTTTGCTGTGAACCTAAAACTACTCTAAAAATATAAAGGCTTTTTAAAAAGTGCATAATACTCACGTGGAGTTGAAAATTTGTTGCCTTTTATTTGTAGAAATTTATTAGCTACAAAAAACAAACTTGATAATTAGGACTATATAATATTTAAATGCTTCAAAACCAATATTGCAAGAGGAAAAGGTCTCTGGTAGCATCCTATAGAGGGATTCATCCCACAAAGGAGTTTCAACAGTGCCATCCCCATCCCATCCTTGTAAACATAGCCTCTAACCATTGAATGGGCCCATGAGTTTCAAAATAAGTCTTCAACTAAGAAGCTGTTAGTTCCCTCTGCCTGAGTTGTTCTTCCCTGACTTTCTGCAGAGTTGGGTCTTTCTTATCCTTCAGATCTCAGCTTAAAAGCTACTTCTGCAGAGAATCCTCCACCAGTCACCCCTTGAAGGGCTGCCTCATCTTTTTTCTTTATGCATCTGCTTATTTCCTTCATAGGATTTATCACAGTTTTATCTTTATATTGATTTCTTGTTGATTGCTGATTATTCATTCCTCATTCATTATTGATTCCTAATTCCTTATTCCCAACTAGGCCGTCAGTTCCATGAAGATGGGAACCATGCCTGTCTCATCCATGACGGCATCCACACCTCCAAGCACAATGCCTGGCCCATATAAGGATAGTGAGGACTCAAACATATTCATTTTCCTAATAATGAATTACTATAAAATTACCCATATCACCATTAAAAAGAAGACCTGCTGTCATTACATTATTCTCCTAAACTGATGCAGATTTTCCACAAAATAAATTTAATTATAATTTACCATTTAGCTAGTTTATTACTCCTTCACTGATTTGTGTAATAAGACATGAGAAGCACCTTGTACTTCCCTTATTACCAAAGTGGTCAAATTGCCCTTTTACTTCTTTGTATCTCTCATTAGCGTCTAAGCTCCATGCCAAAAAAGCCTTGTTTCATTTGCACACCATGATATCCCTAGAACTTAGTTTAGTAGTTAGCATGCTATATATATTTAATAATTATTTCTTCAATGAAAACAAACTGTTTTTAATCAAGACATTTGAGTTCTACTTGCTTGGCATGCCATAATTCTTCAGAATCTCATTATTCTTTTCATGCAAAAGTGAGATTATAGGTGATGCTATAAATATAGCTTTTGAGAAGAATGCAAAGTAATTAAGTAAGAAGGGTGGATTCAAATACTTACTGAATACTAGCATAGCCATATATGATGCTAGAGTCTTTCAAATACATTATCTTATTTAAGTCCCTCAACCCTGTGAGTTAGGGAAAGCTATAGTTCTCATGCTTAAAGATAAGAATGGAGCCAAGATTTGGAGCAAGATTTGGACTTGGATTTCTTGACTTCAAAGCCAGTGGTATCTACATCTTCATGCGTCCCCACTCTCTTTACTTAGTCCTCCCTCAAAGGTATGCAGTCAACTAGTCTCCATCCCAGTGATATGGAATTAATTAGTGAATCTGACTTCTCTGCATCTAAGTAACAGGAAGATCAAACTACATGCAATGTATAATAAAGCTTCATTTCCTTACACCACTTAAATAAGATGTGATGACCTTTGATTACAGAATAATTTTATTTCCTGCATCAACTTAAAATAAGAATTATATTCCTATCTTCACTCTTCTTAGTGTTCAATAGTGCAGCATTGGAACCAGCCCCTCACTAGGGAACTATTTTCAGAAGTTGAGGTTACACTTTGAAGAGACACATTAAAATGTATTGCCAAATATATTCAGAATGCCTGTATCTGTTATAGTGACATCTACATTTACATACTATTATTACTTACATGGGCTCAATTATTTTTTATATTTAGTATGTGTTTCAAAGTTAAATCTTTCACAGTAGATAATAAGCAAGTATTTTATCAAGCTTATGATATTGGTTCTTCTCCTTCTTGTTCAACAGACCATTTGCCAATAATGTCATAGAACCATGGAAAACAGTACTCCTGGGAACTTATAGTTCCTCAGGCAAAACTTTAAACAACATATCGGGTTATATCATGAAAATAGAGTTCTCTCTGCCTGCAGCAAAACTATGCCCACATTATTCAAGTAAATGAAAATATATCCTATTCTATACATATCCACAGAAAACCACACAATTTGCTCAAATAATATTATCCTTATCAAATAATACCCTCTGCCAGAAAAATCCTTGAATAAATACAACCTAAATTTCTAACTTTGTACTTCTTGTTCTCTTCCTCATTCATCAGAGGAAATGAAACTTTAATAATATTCTGTTCTCTCTATTTTCATAAATTAAACAGCATTGACACTGCTTTATTTTTAAATAATCTCCACAGCTACCCTCCAGGCCAAGTCACCATCCTCTCCCACCTGGGTCATTCAGTAGCCATCTAACTGATCACTCGGCTTCTGCCCTTGGTCCCAGTGTAGTCTGTTTAACACAGCAGTCAGAGACAGCCTTTTAATATGGAAGTCACATCCCATAATTCATCTGTTCAATGGCATGGTTAGGAAGCAAAGCTTTTTCAACAGCTGGCAAGCCCTGCATAGTCTGGCCTCCTTGCTGTTTCCAACTCTTTTTCTGTTCCCCTCACTCGCTCCACTCCACCTGTGTAGGCCAACTTCCTATCCTGAGAGCATGCCATGTCTGCTTCCAGCCTCAGAGTCCAGTGAGCCTGGGACACTGCTCCTCCGACACCTCCACTACTCCCTCCCTCAACCTCTTCAGGGTTCTGCTCTCCTTTTAGGTAAAGATTCCTCCTTACCCCATTCATTATCTGCAACCTTTCACCTGCATTGGTATCTTTTGCTCTCTTTTGTTTCCCTATATATCTTTCACATAATTGCCTTCTAATTTATTATAAAATAATTTTGCCTATTATTTATCTCTCCTCACCTTAACTTAATCCCCATGAGAGATATCTATCTGTTTAGTTCTCTACTGAATCCAACACCAAGAATCGTCTTGGCAAGAAGCAGGCATTTAAGGAGCTTTTGATACATGAATAAATGAATGATTATCATCTTAAGTCAGATCATGAATCAAATGAAAATGTATGGAGTCCTTATTTTTTGTACTAGACATTAGGAATGTGAGAAATAAAACCTGAAGAAGCTTACACCTTCTGGCCTAATACATATGATACTCGTACTTTTGAAAAAACAAGAGACATATAAAAATAATAACAAACTACTGAAGATTTATTAGACTGATCGATATATTTTAACTATATTTATGGGAATGTGGAAATAGTAAATAATGATAACTTGCAGAAAGTAAAAGATATGGACATTAAACCATATATATTGCTACTTCTCTGAATATATAACTTTTAAAATACTGCCTTTGTCAGATTAGTGATGGAAAATTGCTAAATCAAAAGGATACATTTCAATCGTTCAGTTAATAAAATACTTATCAAATATATTAATATCAAAGTTGTATCATATATAATTATTTGCCAAATAAATTTTGTAAATACCTAATTACTTACTTGCAACCAGGGGTTCCTCTTCTGATGGTTTAAAGTAAAAGGAAACCTTTTCCAAATCAAATAGTGCAACCAGTGTATCTTCTAACATGGCTTGTTCATCTGTCTACAAAGAAAGAAAAACAATATATAATACAAGATGATATAAAGCAATATAAAGTAACATGACATAATGTAAATCCAGACCAAAATAACTCTGTAGTGTGGCTAATTGTTTTGTATTTTTGGTAGAGACAGGGTTTCACCATGTTAGCCAGGATAGTCTCGATTTCCTGACCTCGTGATCCACCCGCCTTGGCCTCCCAAAGTGCTGGGATTACAGGTGTGAGCCACCACACTTGGCCTAAACCATTATCTTAAAAAAATCCTTTTGAAGCAGCAAAAAAATGTCATGACCCTAGAAAGAAAGGACAGGACTGAAGAATCAGTGTTTATTCTGATAAAAATACACAAAGCAAGAAACATTCCAGACAGTATGGCCTTTGAGGGCTACAGCACAAGCCATGGTGTTGCAGCAAACATTGCCAAAGCCAGGCCCAAGTGACCACTGGCTGTGCCTTGCTCTCAGGGACACACAGACCACCGGAGCACTGCTCCTAGAGAGCCATTCACACTCCTGGGTGGATGTTTTCTTTCTGCCTTTCTGACAGAAGCAGAAAGACTACGGGTTTCTTCAATTTTTCTTTCCTTAGCAACCTCTCTATTTTCTTTTTAAAAACAATTCCTCAAATAAATTTAAGGGTTTCACAAGACCAGTTGAAAAAAAAAACAAAAACACACAGCTTCATTGAGATATAACTCACATACTGTAAAATTCACCCATTTAAAATGTATAGCTCAGGGGTTTTAATATATTCACAGAGCTGTCCAGCTAGCACCATCATCTAACTTTAGAATATTTTTATCATCCCCCAAAGAAACCCAATACCGAATAGTATTCACTCCTCATTTTCCTGCCCCCAACCGTCAGTTGTAGGCAACCACTGGTCTACTTCCTGCCTCTAAAATGTACCTAGTTAGTACATTTCACCACAATGGAATCAAACTATATGAGGTCTTTTGTGACTGGCTTATTTCACTTAGCATAATGCTTTCAATGTTCATCCATGTTGTAGCATGTATCAGTACTCCATTCCTTTTTATTGCCGAGTAATATTCCATTATATGGACACATCACATTTTGTTTATCCATTCATCAGTTAATGGACATATGAGTTGTTTCCACTTTTTAGCTACTACGAATAATCTTGCTAGGAATGTTTGCATGTAAGATTTTGTGTGAATGTAAGTTTTCATTTATTTTAGATATTACCTAGAAATGCGATTTCTAGGTAATATGGAAACTCTACGGTTCATATTTTGAGGAACTGCCAAACCAGTTTCCAAAATGACTGTGCCACTTCCCACGAGCAACTTAGGAGGGTTACAAACTTTCTCCACATCCTCCCCAAAACTTGTGACTATCTGTCTTTTGTATTATAGCCATCCATATCACACGTATTGTGGTATTTCATTGTGGTTTTGAGCTGCATTTCTCTAATGGCTAATGATGTTGATCATCTTTTCATGTGCTTTTTGGACATTTTTGTATCTTTGGAGAAATATCTATTCAAATAATTTGTTTACTTTTTAATTGGTTATTTGTCATTTTGCTGTTGAATTTTAAGGGTTCTTTAAATATTCTGCCTATGTCACTTATCGAATATAGGACTCGTAAATATTTTCTCATATTCTTTGAGATTTCCAATAAAATTAAGTTTAAAGCAAAAGCACCGGCACTTGATTAGACAATGGCAGCTTAAAAGTAAGGAAAACACAACAGAAATAAAGCCTTACTCATGTACACATTCATTCAACAGATAATTGACGCCTACCATGTGTTAAAAATTAGGCTTCCTATCATATGTAATTCTCACACACACACACACACACACACACACATTTGTTTTTAAACTCAAACATGTTACTTTGTAGCTACATTTTCTATGTGTACTTTAACAGATGAAATAGGCTCTCATGTTTAAAATTACTATTCTATTCCGTGATCACCTAACGTTTACATATGAAAGTGAACATATTTGCTTTTAAACATGATGATAACTATCCAAACCACCGGAGGTATACATGAAAAATCTCTTAAGTTCACCACAGTTTTATTTTTCAAATATTTAAAGATGCTTTCTTCATATCCACTGTGGAAACCCGATGAATAAACATAGAATATTCTACAGCAATTAAGGCAATGCCCTTCGATTTAATAGGACAAACATGCATACAAAGAAAAGAACTAAAATTATTTAACATATGCAAAGTTTAAACAGATTGTCAGGCAGTATGGTATTTGAGCTCTCTGAGCTTGGCTCTCAAGCCTGCTCCAGGACATCAATCGCAATAGGAGCTTTGGTTTCACAGCAGCCTGTGTCCTTGGACTGGGAGTAAGGAAAAGCAGCAGAAAGACCCTTTTTCTTCTGGTGACCTTTTCCAGTCAGTGGGTAGGGATACAAGAATTAGTAACAGATGGAGGCTGTCTCAGCTTTTAGCAGCCACAGAGAAGAGATACAAATCAGCAAAGAAGGAATACATTCTACATACTAATTAAAAATTGAAGGACCACAGAAAAATGTATACTTTTAACATAGCTGAATGCATGCACATTCATAGAGATAACCCGGGGGAAAGAAATAACTATTTCTTATTTCAAAACATGTTACAGTGTAGGTTACAGTTGACACAGACAGTGGGAGTCATGTGATTTCCTTACCAAGTTTGGTGACAGAAGTGACTGAAAGTGAAAAAGAACACCTGCATTCGCTATCTGGTCCAGCCACCTCCTGCTGGCTTCCCAAGTTTCCATCTCATTTTCCTTGCTGTTGTCAAACATCTGGTTCAAGGCCGCCATGAGCTGCTCAGAGAAGGCACAGACAGTGGCCACAAGAGTCTGGCAGAACACCATGTCTCTACGGAGCTGTGTCTCACTATCTGTGATCAAAGAGAACATAGAGAATGCTTTGAAAAATGTTGCAGATGGTGAAAACCAATGAGTTAAGCATCTACATTCACTAGCATTTCATCTTTCCACTAAACTCACACATGTGAAAAATGTGAATTTGAGCTCTATGAATGATCACACACATTTTAGCAAACATGCTTTACAGAAAACACTAAACACCAAAAAATAGTAGAAATATTAAAATATTTTTTCCTCATCAATAATGTGACTCTATTCTAGAATCATTAAATTGTTTGATAAAACCTGAGGGAGAAAAATAAGGCTTCATTTATTTATATTTTCTATACCTGATGGGACACAATTTGCATTTGCTGCAATGACATTTTCCTAAACAAAACTCAAAGTCCAATTCGTCAGTTTTTGTTGGCAAATTAAATACAATATTATCAATACAATTTTTAAAATTAACAACTAAACCTAAAATATTAATGTGAAATACATATAGGGAAGAGTATATGATGTTCAATTGTTTGCAGTTATAAGCAAATCTATCTCTCCTGAATGGTGTTATTAAACTTCATGAGCTATAAGTGTGTTCAAATATATAAGAATATAAATTTCTATAATTCTTTCAAATAAGCAATGTATTTATAGTTTTAGTATGAATTGATTTTTATATGTTTAACAGGATTCTTATCCTGCAATTGACTGGAGTTTTGGTTAACCCACTGATATGGTTAGGCTTTGTGTCCCCACCCAAATCTCATCTTGAATTATCATCCCCAGGTGTTGAGGAAGAGACCTGGTGGAAAGTGATTGGATTACGGAGGTGGTTTCTCCCATGCTGTTCTTGTGATAGTGAGTGAATTTTCATGAGATCTGATGGTTTTATAAATGGCAGTGTTTCCTGTATTCTGACACACATGCTCTCTGCTCTCTCTTGCCTGCCACCGTGTAAGACATGCCTCTTTCCTCTTCTGTCTTCTCCCATTCTAAGTTTTCTGAGGTCTTCCTGGCTATGCATAACTGTGAGTCAATTAAACTTTTTTCCTTTATAGAGTACCCACAATCTCAGGTATTTCTTCATAGCAGTGAGAAAACAGACTAATACACCCACTTTGAAGTGGGTTTCCACTGTGAATTGCCACTTCTGAACTAGATATTTTTCAAATGAAAGAAGCTAACACACAGAGTTCATTTCTTCAGGTGGTTGGATATATAAAAACTACAGAAACACAAAGCTACACATTCCACATTTTGAAAAATCACTTCCACTAGAAGTGGAAACAACAAAGGGAAAAATAACCTCCTGTCAAATGCATACTAAATATTTCAAGGGTTCATAGACTTTTCTGGAATAAAGAAGCATTATCAATATTAGTGTATAACACAGAGATAAATGCTGACTTTATTCAGTGGGGAGCTCCTGTTTTATTGACAAAAAAGGCATAATTTTTAAGATTTTCCAAGAACATTGAACATCAGTTTTTAATAACCATCAAAGGTATATGTATATATAATTTAGTTTCTATGTTACTTCATTTCACTGTAAAACCTACTCTTGAAAATTTTATTAGAAAGATAATTAAATATTCAAAATATTTAATTCTGTATCTGAATATTCATTTATTAGGCTCAACTATAGAAACATGCTGCTTTGGTAGGTTAAAATGGTGGAATATGGCCATTCCATATGGCTCAGCTTACTAATTTAACCAACAACATGTGTTAAGCGTCTATATCATGTGCCCCATGCTACTAGATAGGAAAGGGCATTTATAGGTAACTATAAAATCTTTAAACTGGAAATGAACTTTGTCCAATCTTCAATTAAGAAAAAAAACTAAACACCATTTTGTTGCACACAATTTCTATCAGAGTAGACATTGAACAAATGTTCACTAAATCAATGATTAAAATAGAGTCAGTGGCACTAAAAATAAATAAAAAAGAGAAATGAAAAGACATGAGTTAATTCTCTGGTTTCTTGAAATATCTGGATTTAATTTTACTTAAGAAGCTAATTCAGATAGCTTGTTAGCTCCAGTGTGCACCTAGGGTACTGAGGTTCACGACAGAAACTAAATAAGTAAAATAAATTGTCCTATGTCTTTGTTGTACATTATTACTTTGTTTTTCAGATATTCTATAGTGAAGCAGAAAATCTGGGTGAATTTTAAAAAATACTTCAGTAGATATGGCAGCAATACTCCCACCTATACCTTGACAATGTTTTAATAAAAATCTAATCGGAAAGAAATTATGGATATTGAGCGAAAAGCAAAAATCTAGAGAAAGAAGGATCTGCACTGCAAGCTTTAACAAAAATCACCGGGATTAATAACTTTGCACTGGTAGAAATAATTATTTCCAAGTTTCTTTTGTGGAAAAATTCTCTTCTATTTTTATCCTCAAAAGAATACTTAGATGTTTATACTCTGCTACTATATTCTATTTGCATTTAAGCCAAAATAAGATTTCTCTTTCAACCTCTTTATCAAATCAGAAATGATTGCAATTGACAGTCATCTTTTCAATGTGCAAAACCTGTTGATAACTTGAAGTTGTATTCATTCATCAATTCAAATGTTTAACACTGAATGAATACCCTACAGGAATTGACAGCTGCAACAACTACTAGAGGATCCAAGCTGGGGCCTCAGCCATACTGAATAAAAATTCATACTTTATGAGGTGATATTCTTTTGCCACCTTCCTATTTTCAACAGAGAGTAGATGAATTGTTTGCACAGATTCAAAGTGTACATATTATATCAAGAGCTTTTCAAATTAACTTTTTACAAGTCATCATCTCACAGTGAATAACAAAGTTAGAAAACAGTGGCATAAGCGGGACCTTGCGACCTATTCCCAACTTCTATTTACAGCTTCTCAACATACCACTTCCCTCCATTCATTCCACACTACAGCAACAATGTTCACAGAATTATTGGGAGAGCACATTAAAACAACATATCTGAAAGCAGTCAGAAGCGTGGGGTACACAGACCTGTCCTCTTTGAGCCACACAGTACTGCTTGGCAGTTCTCAAATACCAAATGCCCTGTGGCCTACATTTGGCCTATACCTTCCTTCCAGATGTACTTTATGCCCTTGTCCTTCTCCTCTGTGTAGCAAACTTTAAATCAATCTTTAAGAGTCAACTCATCAAACTATTGAAACTCATTGAAAGATTATCTCCCCTTGTGAAATTCCCCTCTTCCCAAGGAAGTACTGGGGCTCTTCTTCTGGTCACCACAGACCTGGGGGCATCCTTCTACTGGAGGGCTAAATATATAACACAGTGGGCATTCATTTATGAGTCTGTGTTCCCGAGGAACCATCAGCACATCAAGGCCAGAGAAGTGGCATGTGACTTAGGCTCACACTCCTTAGAGGCATATCAACCGCTTTCAACTACCCATTCTACGCCAAAGTTTAGGTATCAGATCCTCATGTGGAAAATGGGGTCCATTCCTCCTTCTTAGGTCTACGATAAAGATAAATGAGATAAAAAGTATTTAAAGCACTTAACAAAGTAAAATGGTGTATCATTATCATTGTAATTCTTCTTTTTGTCCAGCATCTAGCACTATGCTTGGCACTGAGTAGGTGCTCAGCTTTATTGCTCATGGAGAAGGAACAATTTGTTACATAAATACAACAAAATCTACTAACTCTCAGCAAAAATATCCAGGTCTTTTTCTTTCAATTATGCAACCATTCAAAATTTATAAGTATCCATCCTTTACCAAAGGTATTTTTGGTTTTCTTTGTGTGTTTTTGTTTTGTTTTGCTTCATTTTTTTAAGACAGAGTGTCTTGCTCTGTCACCCAGGCTGGAGTACAGTGGCAGGATCATAGCTCACTGCAGGTTCAAACTTCTGGGCTCAAGAGATCCTCCTACCTTGGCCTCCCAAATAGCTGGGACTACAAGTGTGTGCCATCACTTCTGGCTAATTTAATTTTTTTTTTTTTAAAGGCAAGGCTTCACTATGATGTCCAGGCTGGTCTCAAACTCCTAACCTCAAATAATACTCCATCCTCAGCCTCTCAAAGTGCTGGGATTATAAACAGGGCACACTGCCTTCATTTCCTATTTTCTATGAATAAGAAAGAACTACAGCAAAAATCACATCTGTTTTCAGCTACTAGCAAAAGAAGAAAAACAGAGATTTTGAGGGTTTTTTTTTTTGTGCTTACTATTATTGTAGAGTAAGATTTTTATTATTTATTTTTATCATAGAGTAATATTTTTCTCACAGTGAGAGTACACTCAAAAGAAATGGTTTTTGTACCTATAAAAGGCTTCAGTTTCATTTTAGTATTTAAGCACCTATCTCATCTTCTAAAACATGTTTTAAATTACACTATTTAATCTTGGCTGTTTAAAAGTTTAAGATCTATAATTAGCTAGCTGGTCTAAAAAGAATGAGATGGTTTCTAGACACACAAAAGCAATCTCAGAAATTATGCTAACACAGAGATTGTAGGGCAAATAAAGCAAAATAAACAACAAAAAGGGAGATTAGAGAAAGGTAGAAATAAAAGGAGGTTAAGAATATTTAAAAGACACAGTTTACCCTTTTCAAACGAACATAATTTCACAGCCAAAAATATGAAGTATTTTGGCTATTGTTTGGTGTCATCCTATATAGAAGAGGGGAAGAGAGAGTGAGCAAATAAAGCAGGAAAATAAAGAATCATAACAGGAATAGAAAAATAAAATTTAAATCAAAATAAAAACCTACCAGAGCATCCATTGAGCATTAATGAATAAAACGAAGCATCCCAGAATCACCTCCGGAACTGGAAAACCTAAGTTTGAATTTCAAAACTGCCACCTACTATTTATTCATTTATTCAATAAGACATCAATATGCCTAACCTTCTAGATGCTCCAAAGTCAGTGTTGACTGTATACTATGTGCTGGTTATTATTAATCTGCCAGAATGTCAATTTCTTCACCTTTAAAACTGTGGAAACAATAATATTCTCACGTGGTGGGTTGTGGGGACCCAATGAAATC